TTTCTCCAATGCTCTTCCTCTTGGATAAGCGATCCTCATCTGGGAAATGAGAAACCCAGAAGCTAGAGCTGCCAGCCCTTGGAGAGAGAGCCAGGATCACGCCTCCAGCACCATCTCCCAACCCCTCTGCCTCTGCCTGGTCCACAGTCCTCCGAGGGCTCAGTACACACTGAGGATATAGCTGGGGTTTATGGAAGCACCTTTCTCTGCCCATCTTAGAGTGGTGAATTTTGCTCTTTGGGGCTAAGATTTTGAAATCATTGATGGTCACAAAAATGCTGCTTATGACCAGACAGCGTGCCTCAACTTGCACACACGCCATCTGCTGATGGCACCAGAGGCTGTCATTTGTGTAGCATCTATACGTGCATTTGCCTATACCCTTTAGGGCAGGTGCTGTTAATATCTCTATTTTATGGTCAAGGGAACTGAGACTCAAGAGATGCCAAGGGAACTGAGACTCAAGGGATGCCAAGGGACTCATCTAAGATTTTTCAGGGAGTCAGTTGCAGAGAACCGGGTCTCTGATTCCAGAGCCTACGTGTGCTCTTTCCGGCACAGTGGGGCCTCTCCCGTGCACGGGCCAGGCTACCTCGTGGGCTGGCTACTCCAAAGGGTCCTGCACTGAGGAGGAGTGGTGGGGAAATCAAGACCTCACCATAAATTTGCACTGTGTCTTTCAGCTCTTGTATGACATCCGAGGTGCCATGGAAGGCGACCGAAGGACTCTCAAGTCCCTGACATTCAGGCTCTTGCCTGGCCAAGAAAAGCCAGAGGCAGGGTTGGACGTCCTCGAGCAGAGCTCATACCTGTCAGCTGAGGGACGTAGGGCAGGCAGAGCCTGTCTGAATTGTAACCACTGCCCCCCAGGACTTCACTGATCTTGCTCTGGCGGAAGAGAAACTCAATCACCACTCCATCGAGGTTTTGAGACAGCCTGGGGGACAAAGGAGGGAGGGAGCAAGTGAGAACCATGGGTGGTGAGAATGATTTCCTAATGACTTTCTTTATTATAAAAGTAACGTCCATTATACAAAATGACAGAGAAGCAAAAGGAAAAAAATCAGCCACAATCCGACTTTCTTTCTTTTTTAATGGATTTACTGAGGATTGAACCCAGGACCTCGTGCATGCTAAGCATGTGTTCTACCACTGAGCTATTTCCCTCCCTCTTTACAGTCTCACTTTCCAGGGAGAATTGCATTCACATTTTGTGCAGAATCGCTCAGTCACACGCACGGATGCACACACACAAACACAGCCCTGTCCCTCACAGTCCTGTTACAGGATCTATTTTTCTCTCCTATTATATAGTGAATATTTCACATGGACTATTCTTCCAGAACACTGTGGATGGGCTACCAGTTGTCAATGGTGTGAATGGGCCATAATTTATAAAGCCATTTCCTATTGTGGGATTTGCAAGATATTTTGTTTTTTTCAGAGTGTCTTTTCCTTGAGTTCCTCTGATGCCGAAGTGATACCGGCCCACAGAATACAGTCTGAGAAGGCCACTTGGATTGATGGTAGTGTCTTGTCAGGAAGGACTCCTCCAGGATGTGTTCCCACGGCCTTGGCCAAAGTTCCCAGAGGATGTATCCCATACTTTACAGTACAACATTCCAGGAAGGCCTAAGGCATGGATTACAGTCATGTAAGGGGACCCAGGACGTCCTGGCCACAGGCAGGGTCCACTTTCTGCTCCTGAGTCCCTGACCTCCCACTGCCTGCCTTCTTGCTCAGCTGCCTGGGTGCCTTTGACCATGTCCCCGGGGTGCTCCTCACCTGGGCCTCTCCACAAACACATCCTCAGGGAGCATGTACGGAGCCTCTTTCTTCCTGGTCTCTATCACCTGAGGTTTGGGAGGAGTCACAGGAAGAGCTGGGTTCAGCAGGGAGAGGGAGTTCGGAGCAGGAAATGAAGGAGCTCCCACCCACTAAGGGCTTCCTCCCTCCCACAAACTCCCAGCAGAGCACCGACAGCTGGGCTTCTGAGAGAGCAACTCAGACCAACAGGGACCCTCAGGGCAGCCTAAGAAACCCTGCTCAAGCTGTCCCCAGGGACACACATGCGTTAAGGGTCCTCCCCATGCAGAGGTCTTAGCTCCCAAGAGAATTCTGTTTCTTGCTCCCATGCTCTATTTTCTTGTTGAAACACGAAAAGGAGAGCATAGGTCACACTGTTCCCCAAACCCAGGGGTGCTGCAAAACATCCTGATGAAGAGTGACATGCTGAGTTTCCCTCAACATCCTTTGCAAATTTTTGACAAGAAAGGTGACAGCTATTAAGATGGTGAGAAGTGGCAGGACAGCTGGCATGCAAGTTCGTGCAGGAGGTGAGTAAGCCTCGATGCTACTACTTTTAATGAGGAGGATGTCGGGGCATTCCCTGTCCTGCCCTCCTGTATCAGCCCAGCAGCCGGGGATTCCCTGCCTCGCTCAGGATGGTCTCGGGCACAGCGATATCTCACCTTCCTCTGTGACCCCAGGCCAGGCCAGGCCAGCTGAGACGTGGGCTTCCTTGTTTAGTTTTATTTTGTTTTGCTGGTGTATTTTAACGTTAATCCTACACATTATATGATTCCACTTATATATAGTTTGGTGTGTTTTAAGATACCTTTTCGCAACAACTAAGAACATCTGATTACAGACTGGGTACAAGATAACAACACCAAGGGATAACTGATCATTTAATTAGGCATATAAATCACATGGAAATTATGTAGGAAGGTGTCCATGTTTTTTTAGCCATGAATACTGATATATATAGGGGTGAAATGACATGATAGCTGAGGCTTGTTTGAACATATGTCAGCAAAGAAAAAGCAAAAGAAAAGGAGACAGATGAAGCAAATGTGCAAAGTCTTCCTAACTGCTTAACCTGCGTGATAGCTGTGCAGATGTTTATTGTTTTACCCACGCAGCTTTTATGATATTTGAAAACTTTCATAACAAAATCTTTTTTAAAGTAGCTTTAGTCCCAGACGACCTGAGGGTGTGTGTATATGCACTTCCAGGAGCGGGGGAAGCACAGAGGGGCAGGAAGTAGAGGGGGGCAGGTAGCAGCTTGGGAAGGGGTACAGGATACTGCCCTGTGCTGTGTCGTCTCCTACAGGAGGAGATGCCGCCTCTTTCTCACTATCATTAGTTCGCACGCCTAGACCATGCACAGGGCTCATGCAATTAAGGAAAAGCTGTTCTGGGGAAACCCCAAGTCAAGGGCCCCCCCGAACTCTCTGGGTAGCCAACCTCATGGATGTGCTGGCAGAAGGCAGGCACGGTTGTGAGCTGGCTGATGAGGTTCAGGTAGGCGGCGCCCAGCGCGTAGAGGGCACAGCGGTTGTAAACAGGCAAATTCTCTTCGTTGACCTGGGCCACGTCCTGTGGCGACACATTGAAAATCTATACTGGTGCCCCACCCTCAGCACCCCAATTCCCAGCATCCTGGGGAGTACGCGTCCACCCAGGCAGACCTGGAAAGTCTAAAGGCCTATCTAGTGCCACGCTGGCTCCCTAAGACTCAACGAGGGGGGCTTGTTGAGTCTCCAGGTCCCCAAGCTTGGGGACAGAACTCCGAATACATATTTTAAATAAGTGCTCAAGGCGATTCGAAGCACAGCCAGATTTGGGAACGAGATGATCTTTAGACAAACAAGTTTGTTTCAGGATCACTCCGGGCTTACAGGTACCCTCTCGGTGATTCCCGGAGTCTCATTCAGAACCTTGCAAGAGACCTGACATACTAGGGGTGAAAGGATGTTTTTAAAAGACCCTATTTCCTGGGTCTCCTTTAGTCTGAAGATGAGGCAAAGTCGTGAATGAAGCACTCTTCGGTGGGTCCCTAAACAGGACCCTGGCTTGTGGTCTTCATGGAGGAATGGCCAACCAGGGTGTGACATTCCTGGGCTCCAAAACAACTTTTAAGGGGTGGCTACCTGGCACTCAGTAGTGCTTGGCCAACACAGGTCCCCTCCCCCGACCCCAAGCTCTATGTCCTGCCCACACCGGACCCCACCTGAACGGCCAGCACCAGGCGGATGAGGTCTACCACCACCTCCTCGTTGGCCAGCTCGATGCTGATGAGCGCCAGCAAGCCGTAGAGCGCCTCGTAGTGCTTCTGTATGTTCGTTTCCTCCTTACAGCTCAGGTAGATGTGTCTGTAGAGCTGCTGGGAGTGCTGGAGATGGGGCAAAAGTGGGGGCAAGGCCATGGCGGGCGGGATGGGGACAGGGAGGCACGAGAATAGGAAGATCAGTCCGATGGGGTGGCACAGCTGTGTGTAACCCACCTCCACCTCGGGGAGAGGATGCCCTTAAAGCAGACCGCAGTGGAAGCCAGGACATGCAGGAGGACATGTTTAGGGAAGGGCGGGTCCAGTGAAACCAGCAACAAGAGCTGCTGCTGAAATCTGGTTTTAGGAGAACACAATCAAGGGGTGATCCTCACTCTGGCTCTAAATATGACCCAGGAGCTTGATCCCCTAGTGGGGTTGGCTTGTTGTCTGGACTAAGCATAGTCAAAGGGCGGTGTGGAGAGTATAGCTCAGTGGTGGAGTGTGTGCCTAGCATGCACGAGGTCCTGGGTTCAATCCCCAGTACCTCCACTAAAAAAAGAAAAAGAAAGAGGAGGAAGCAGGCTTTGGGGGCCTGGTCTGGGGTGATCTGGGGGCTGGAAGGCTGGGATCCAGAGGGCCTGGCCCACCCAGGGTTTACTATGTCTTGAGGTCACACTTGCTAACCTTCTTCATGAAAATGGTGTCCTGTCGGGAGCACTTGTCCACTTTCAGCTTCAGGATAGAGATGTCACTGAGGGTACTGCGAGGGGACATGAGAGGCCACCTTAGCCCTTGTATGAGGCCAGCCAGAGCTCACGTGGCATTGGTTGTTCCAACGCCTCCTAGTGTTCCTCCAGCCCTGGTTCTTAGCCTGATCTCCACTTTCTACCAAGTTCTCAAGTGCCTGCCTCTTTTTCTTAAATACTGATCCAGATTACTCTCTCCTTCGTCTCTTTCCTCCTTTTAAGCTCCCCTCCCCTAGTCTCTACTGATAATCCTGCATCCCCTTCTTTCCTCCCCACCTGAGAGCTCCTTTTGGTACCTGCTCTGTATCTCTCAAATTTCCAATCCCTCCCTCTGCTTCCTCCCCGCCAGGTAGAAGAGCCCTTCCAGTCTCTCCTGCCCTTGCAGGTCCTCAGGGTCCATATCCATGATCAGCTCCCTGGTGGGTCCCACTGAAGAGCTGAATTGTCCTCCCACCTAGGTGTGAGGTCCTAACAGGAGTCTTCTCCTTCATCACACATCAGCTGGAGGGGAGACTCCAAGTTCACCTGATGGTAGAGAACTTGTGGCGGTTGCCATGACGATCAATGAAACTGATGAGAATCTCTAGAACGAAGAGACGGATCTCTGCATCCTCCATGAGGGCAGTGGAGAGAAGGCGGTCAAGGAAGTTGCTGGGCAGAGCTGACATCATGTTGTTGCACTGGAAACCAGTGGATACCTGCAAGGGAGCCCAGGAGAGTGTGCTTAGGAACTTTCTTGGCAGCAGCAAGGAGATAGAGGAGCAGCCAGCAGAAGTTGGGTCTGAAGCATCCATCCTCTCTAAACATCTCCCATCCCAGCTCCCCACATCCTCCACCTTAGGCAACTTTTTTGAACCCTCCAACATCTACCCAGGCAACCTGCTCAGCTCAGTTTAGCTGACCTGGGGGTTGGTGGGGACCGTATGCAGAAACATTACGCTGTTAAAAGCAAGCAAATGATGAGCACGAGAGGCGGGCAGAGGCCAGGGAGCTTCGGAACCTAATGTTCCAGCCCATTAGGGCACAACTGACGAATATTCACCACAAACACGCCTCATTTGGAGCACGGACAGTCACAAAGAAATGGAGAGACAGCGGGAGAACTTACAGCTGGGCCAAGGAATCAGAACCCACGCACAAGGCAACAGCCAAAGCGCGCACACTGCACTTGCTTACACCTCTTCCAGCCTGGCCATGATGCAGGGCTTCTAATTAAAGCCAGTTGGCACAAACAGACACTTCATCCATGATGTTGTCAAAGCAGTCAGAAGCAGCAAAACATATTTACTGTTAAGTCCATATTGCAAAACGATGCCTTTGATGATCTAACAGGCCGCTGAGGCTCTAGTAAAGGCTAGTGGCATCAAGAGTAAACATCAGTGTTCACTGAAGGGGGCCGCATGTGTGTGTGTGCTGCAAACTGTCACGTTGGTGACAAGCTGGGCACAAATTAATGAGGGCAAACTCAGTAAAGAAATGGTAGGAGTACATAGACCCACAAGGTAACCAGATATGTGAGCACAAAAAGCCTTTATAAAAATAAAGTGATGCTGAGGGGTGGGAGCAGCTCAGTGGTAGAGCGCATGCTTAGCATGCATGAGGTCCTGGGTTCAATCCCCAGTACTTCCACTAAAAAAAAAAAAATAGAGTGATGTGAACAGTGGGGCTGGGTAGAGGGAATAGAGGGAAGGGAAGGCATGAGGGAAAGAGGGGGCGGGCAGAGTGGCATGGTTAGAGCAGAGACGGGCTAGGTGTGATGTAGGGGAGTCTCAGGAGGGAAAAGTGACTGGGGACCTTCAAATTCAGTCTGAGAAGTTTGAAATCTGAATGCACATCAATTAGAACCTGAGACTTACTCTTTAACAAGGAGCAGCATGTGGGGAACCTCATTTCTAGAAAATTCTTCTTGGTTGTATTTATGATAGGTGAGGAGAGGTGGAGCAACTATGAGAATAATAGTTGGGAGATACCCAGAGTTTAGGCCAAGGCTGTGCCTAAGAACACCTGGGGAGCTTGTTACAAAGACACATTCTAGGACCTCACCCTCTCAGTGCAAAATCTCTAGAGAATCCATATATTAAATAAGTTGGTTATATGAACAGCATTTGAGAACAGTAAATCTAGGCTCCATTGATGGCTGCAAAGAAGGAAAGAAGATGAATGTAAGGGGGGAGGGTATAGCTCAGTGGTAGAGCACGTGCCTAGCATGCACAAGGTCCTGGGTTCAATCCCCAGCACTCCATTAAAAATAAATAAAAACCTAATTACCTCCCCCCAAAATAAAATAAGAAGATTAATGTAAAAAAACTAATAAGGGATATATGTATAACTGAATCACTATGCTGTACACCACAAATTAATACAATATTGTAAGCCAACTATGCTTCAATAAAAAAAATAAAATTAAAAATACTAATAAAGGGAAAGATGGTAGCTGGGAGACTGACGTGGGCACAGGTGCCAAGGGAGAAACAGGTGGAAGGGACCTGGGGAGGTCCTTGGAGGGAAAAGGGGCAAGAATCAATAGATTCCATCTCAATACAGAGATAACATTTGGGTGACAAGGCCATCAGTAGCTGAGAAGGTACCTCTGTGAAAGTTAGAAAGAGGTGTCCTGCCTGTTTTGGATAACCCAGCCCTGTGAGTACCCAGCCTGGCTAGTGAGTGGAACACAGGTTGGATTTCAGCCCCCACTCACCCCTTTGGCCGGGCATATTTGTACAGTGTGCCACCTGCACAACTGTATGTGGTAGCCTTCTCTTGGTCCCTTGGAAGGAGCTGCCTCCTGCAGAGGCAGAGCAGGAATGGGGACAGGAGAGGCTCACCTGAAGGAGGGATTTCAGCAGCATAATCTGGGTCAGCCGGTTCCTGTTCTCCCTATAGACCAGAGACACAAATACTCACCAGGATGGTGATATGGGCAAGTGAAGACCCCACACTTGCCTGCCCAGTTCTCTCTCGTGATTAGATTCTCTATGAGGCTTATCTTGTTGGGTTACCCTGGACAGTGACCTCCAGAGCCAGGATGCAGACTAGGGAATTAATGGCTCCCCTCCTTATTGGCAGGACAGCCTGAGGAACTGTTGTGGGATCCAAAGGCCCACGAAAGCCTGCTGAGGGATCTGAGAGTAGAATGAGAGAAGACAGTGAGGGCAGCACCAGGAAAGTTGAGGTGCAGAAAAGAGAGAGCTGGAAAATGTGCAAAGGGGAATCTGGGGTGGAATCTAGGCTGGGAGAGGAAGAGGGGGAAAAGTGTGGTAGACTCACCCCGTCCTCCCCGTCTCCACGGGGTGATGCAGGGAAGGCAGCGGGACCTTGCTCATGATGAAGAGGATCACCTCGGAGCGCTGGTACGTGGGCAACGTGCTGGCAAAGGAGCCTGGGGAAGCAGGGAGGGCAGAGGGAAGGGAGGAGAGGGTTGGCCCAGGTAAGGCCGCCAGCTGCCGGGGTCTCAGCTCAGCCTTTCAGCTGAACAAACTACTGCAAAGAGTGCAGGCTGCTTCTCTAGAGAGACGATTAAGACTCAGAGGGAGACACCTAGGTAACTGCAGAGGACTCTTCCCGGCTCCCGTTCCTTCACTTGTTATTTCTGAGACTGGTTAAGGTCTCCGGGATGGAGAGGGGAAGCTCCAGTGACACAAGGACAGGAAGGATCTGAAAGTGATGAGCCCTTACGTGCACGCGGGGGCTTTACAGTCCTGTTCCACATCCACGTGCTTATCCACGGCCTTCTCCCTTTCCTATTCCCTTCTTTTTCTCTTCCTCACTCCCACCTCCCCTCCAATTACTCCACTGTGGAAGCATCAGGCAGGCCTAATAGGGACTGGGGTGCAGGAAGAGTTCGCCTCTCTTAGCCTCTGATCTGAAGTCCCGGCTGAGAAACCCAGGGAGATTGTTCTGTGCACTCACTCAAGTCAGGCCCAGGCCACTCTGTACGCTGTGCGCACAGCGGATTAACTCCATTTTCCTCAGTGTTCGTGAGTAACACGATATGAATGGATGACAATCCTACGCCGCCCTGCCGCCCCTCTGTCCCATCCTCCGCGGGTCCAGGCCAGGGCCCCGCCCCCGCCCTCGCCGGGGCCCCGCCCCTCGCCCAGGGCCCACCTATGGTCTTGATGACTGCCTCCTGGAACATGCGCTCTTCGTGCTCCTTGATGATCTTGGTGCCTAGGCTGATCGCCCCATCGTAGCTCCCGGTCAGGGCGTAGTCGATGCTGAGCCGCAGCTGCCTCAGCAGAGTGTTGAACATCTCCAGCACTGTGGGTCCTGAGCGCAGCGGGGTGGGAGACCCGAAACCCCGGGCTGGCACCCCTCGCTCCTTCTCCCCTGCCCTGTATTACCCGGCAAGCCTGGGCCCACTTCTAGCCAGGGTCTTCCTCTGCCTGCCGACCTTCCCTGGCTGATATCTCCTCCTGAGGAAAACCGGCTCTGACCCCTCCCTATGGTGCCTTGCCCTTTTCTGGAAGGGGAGGCAGCCTACTACTAAGGGCAATTCTTTGTCCTTGGCGGGGGGGGGGTGTCCCCAGCCCCCACTCCTTCACTGAGGACCCCTCTTACCCACAGAGCCGGTAGCGGCGATGACGGCGGCTTCCGACAGGACCTCCACGATGCCCGCCCGCACCGTGGCCGCGCTGCGGCTGTTGGCATCCAGGTGGCTCAGGAGCTGCTGGATAACCAGGTGGGAGTGCTGCGGCTGGGGGGAGGAAGATGTGCTGGTCCCCAAACAGCAACCTCCACATGGCTTCTGAGCCAGGGCCACCCTCGACAGGGACCCAGAGCAGGGTGGACAAAAGGCAGGTCCCAAAGCTAGTATGTAGGCATTGGAAGAGGCCCAGATACCCTGGTTCCTTTTCCTGAGTCCTTCCCCCCACCTTGGTCCAACAAGAAGTTGAGTCAAATCCTAGTGAAGACCTGGATTTCCACTTTTTTCTTGGGCCCTTTCACTTCAAATGGATCAAAAGTCAATTTTAAAATACTGTCTTCCTTCTCATTTTTCCCAGGTCCCAGGTTTTATTGGTAAGGGCCACGAGAGGCCACGTGGCTTAGTCCAGTGCTGCTCAAAGGGTGGCCTGTGGCCTGCTGCCAATTCAAGATCTGTCTGAGCCTGTTTACACTGAGCTAACGACGGAAATTGAGAGTAAGTGTTTAGTAAGCAATCTGACAAAGCCATGGCAGCCAGTCATGGTCTATGGGCTTGTATTTTGTGTGAGTTTTTCATTTACTATTCCTAGGAGTCGTTTGTAATTGTGTTTTATAAAGTATGGATCTGTGACATATTAGAACTAAAAACTAAACTGGTCCTTCTCCACAGCTAGGTTAGGCAGCGCCGGTTTGGACGACTAGGGGCTTAGGAGCCACAGAGGACAGCTGGCTTTCTCCAGCCATGCACCATCCCGCTCCCAGAGGTGCCCTTGGCCAGGGGGACCGGGGGAGCCACCGTACCTGAATTGAGTACATGATGATTTTAAAGCAGCGGATGGCAAACACCTTGGGTTCCCAAAGAGAATGGTTATCCAGATGGCTGTGAGGAAGAAGATATGGGGAGTGACTATGCAATGCAAGTGATGTTAAGGAGGAGAAGTTTGGTGGGAGAATGACACCTCCCGAGACATCAGGCCCCTCTCAAAGCTCCCAGGGGCATAGCAAGGGCTTTCAGGGGTAGGTGAGAGAAGGGAAGCATGAGGGACCTCAGGGCACTTCCAGCCCCAGAGTTGGAGGGTTCCATAGCTGTGGACCCAGGAATGAAGTCAGGTACCTTCCTTCAGCCTCAGGGGCTCTCCTGCCCACTTCTCTCCCCCAGACTGCACTTGGCCACCATGTGGTAGCTTTTGATGCCACAATGCAGGGCACACAGGAACAGAGAAGGGACCAACTTGGCCACAGCACCACAACCATTAACACCTCCTCCCCAAGGAGGTTCCAGACCCGAAACAGTTCAAAGCTGAAGGCTGCTGTGGTGGGGCACTCACATGAGAACAGGCTTGATGGCATTTTTGATGTTGCCAAAGGCAGCCCGGCCCAGCAGTTCCCGCAGGCACCTCTCAGCCAGTTCTGCCGGGTTCTCCTTTTCCTTCTCTGGTGCTTGGAGGGGTGAAGGGGACCGGCTGTGGAAACACACAGCACACGTGTGAAAGAGGGAATGCAGAGCTGGGAGGCAGCTTTGTGCAGGCCTGGGTTTCTGTGCTTCACTCATGCAAATGGTCACAGTAGGATAAGCAGGAATTTGATGTAGGCTGCACTCAGTCATGGGGACGGGGGAGCAGTCTATGCTGTCTGAAGTTAAATGGGGTAAGGAAGCCCAGAGAGGAGGAAGACTGTGGGAGGCAGAATAAAATTCTTTTTATGGAAATCTTTAGGGATAGGCCTGATGTGCTTCTGTGGGAAAGATAGCTACCCTGAGCTCCATGGGCCTGGGTTGGGGTGGGGCGCAGACCTAGGGTGTCTTCATGTCCCCAAGGCTTTGGAAGGAAAGAGAGATGAGATCAGAAGAGATGGAGGCAGATAGAGAAAGCAAAAGAAAGGGGGAGAGAGGAGGAAGTGGAGAGAGTGAGAGGGAAAAAGGAAGGCATGGGGGTTGGCTCAGGTGTGACTCAGTGGCACTCAAGTCATGGGAGGTGAGCCCAGATCTGGACAGAAGGAGCCCCAGGGTTCCTCATCCTGAGACCACTCTAGACCACCGAGGATATGCTATTCCGGGAACAACCACCAGAGGGCACACTAACTTCCCCACCGTCTGTAGCAGCGGTGGCTCAACTGAAAGTGGGGAAACCAGTGCATCTTTTGAGTGGCCACAGGCTGGCCAAGCAGGCATGTTGAAGGCCCTGAAACTCCATTAGGAAGTGAGGGGAAAGAAAGGAAGGGTCCTCATCAGCATCTGGAACCATGAAAGGCATTAAAAAACCTCCTTGGCCTGCTGCTTCCTCTAGAAGATCCAGGAGACCCGACTCTTGGTTCTTACCCCAGGGAGCCCCGCACCTTCAGGAATACAGACCTTAGGAAGGTACAGTGGCTGGTAGAACGCCAAACCCAAAGCTCCTAGGGAACCAGCTTTGGACTCACTGTAGAACAAGCCACAAAAACCGGGATCCCTGGCCTCGGAGCTGGGTTCACCAACCAGCCCCAGCCGCGTGGTTGCCAAGCACCCGGGACGGCTGCACACAGCCACTGTACAAGCTCCTCCCTCACCTGCTTACCTCTCAGCCTCCTCCACGTGTTGCAGATTGAAAAGCAGTGATGGGACGATCTTGTCCATGTGCTGTGGGTCCCAGATATTGGCCTGCAATTCGTCATTCACTGTCTTTCTTACCACCCCTTGTAGACCTTTGATGCCCGACATTCGGATTCTGTAGGGAAAAGGGAGACATGGGGCCAAAAGTCCCCAAGCCCTGACAGGTCCAGCTCCAGTGATAAGGAGAGGCGCACAGCGTGGGGAGTAGGGATGCATTCAGCCACCAAGAGGCAGAACCGAGCCCAGCTTCTCCTCTTCGTGTGACTTGGCCTCCTGGCTGATCAGCTTCTTGTGCTGGTGAACATGAGCCTGAAGGCTGTGCCTTCTGGTCATCTCCGAAGTTCCCAGACTGCCCTTGCCTGTATCACCCAGGCTTCATCCCCAGGGTGCCAGACTCTTTAGTACCCAGCTGGGTTTTCTCCAGCCTGAGCCCAAGATTTAAGAGCCCAAGTGCTGCCAAGAACTGACGAGGCAGAATCTAGGGCTGTGAGGAGCTTAGAGGGGGAGGGGGGCAGGAGGGGGAGGCACAGAGCTCAGGCTCTCAGGCACAAGGGGATCTCAGCTGGGACTAAGCCGGCTGAGAAACCAGAGGGGAAGTGAGTAACAGCACAGAGGGGACCACTTTTACACACCCCCCAGTCCTCACTGCACTCACCAAGTCAGCATGGCCCTGCAGGAGGGGGCCCTTTTTACTGGCTATTTATTTTAGTCTGAAGTTCCTTTTTAAAATCCAATTATAAAATAATACATGCTAATTATAGAGAAGTGTAAAGATGATTTACCCCTGCCACCACCACTCAAAGATAATTACGGCATTTTGGTGTCTTTCCTTTCTTTCATATAATACATAACAGAATTAAGAACCTATTGCATACATAATTTCCCCCCCATAGCATTCTATCACAAGCAATTTTCCACAACATTAACTCACAAACATGTTGAATAGTTGCCTGATACACTGTCAGATAAACTTTCTAAACTACTCTCCTATTGGGCATTTAAGTCATTTCTAAAATTTTTGCTTCTGGAATAGTGCTACGATGGACATCACTGTACAAAGTGCTTTACTACATTTCAGATCATTGCCATGAATCAAAAGGTAAGAAATGAAAAGTTCCCAATATTCCCTGATTCTTCTCCCCACCCCCATCGCACAAACCGCAGGAGACCGCCATCCTCACTGTTCCCGCCTCAGCACTGGGGATCTTATTTTAAACATCTGCTCTAATTTTGTGGCTCAGAAAAATCCTCACATCTTGGAGCTATTTCAGTTCATATCCTTTTGATGATTATTGTTTGTTTGTTTCTTTAATGGAGGTACTGGGGATTGAACCCAGGACCCCATGCATGCTAAGCATGCTCTCTACCACTGAGTTATTTTCCTCCCCACCTTTTTTTGTGGGGGGAGATAATTCGGTTTGTTTGTTTGTTTGTTTGTTTGTTTTTTATTTAATGAAAGTACTGGGGATCGAACCCATGACCTCATGCATGCTAAGCTCCGGCTCTACCACTGAGCAATATCCTCCTCAACCCCCTTTTGATGATTATTGGAGTTGAGTTGTTTTTCTAAATATTTCATTGCCATTTGTCTTTTCAGCTTCAGTTTTCAGTGCCGTTACCAGGGCTACTCTGGGCTTTCCCTAGCGACCATGACTGGGTGCTGGGAGGTGCCTAAGGCACCAAGATCCCCTGGCCCAGGACCAGTTAGGGCTGCTGGCAAAGGACAAGGATTCCCTGGGCAAACACTCCACTACTTTGATCTTGACCCCCAGTCAACACCCAGAGCCTGGGGCTGTCCAGACTTGAGAACGAAGTAACTGGAAAACAATTATGCTAACTATTCTTGGCTCCAGGTTAAAAGGTGTTCCCTAGTGCTCTGTTGAAATCAATCCCAAACGTGCTGGACTCATACGTTCCACCCAAGAGAGCCTGGCTGGCAGGAAATCAAGCCCGGGGAGTGGAAAACTTTCTACCCAGGGCTTCCTTATGTGAGGCTGTGAATTAATTTTTCCTCTTTCTTTCCATCTCCCCAGAAGCCCTTCTACATATAATCCCTTCCTGGTTAAACATTTCATTCCATGATGCCCAGAACTGACCGACCCTTTCAAAATAAATTTGGAAGATCAGGCCTGGGGGAGAAGAAGCCTCTTACTGCTCCTTGGAATGAGCTCAGTGGGGGCCTGCCCATATGCAAGGGACCTGGGGAGTCTCTGAACGCAAGGGGACCACACAAACACACACACACCCCGCACACACCTATTTACAAGACCCAAGGGTAGTCCTTGGAAAGGAGCTCTGGGTTCTGCAAAGGCTGTGAATGGACAGGGCGGGGTGGGGGGGTGGCGGCGCTCAGGGAGAAGCGGTACAGAGAGGGTATGGAAGAGAGACCACAAGAGGAGCCTGATGCAAAACTCCTCCCGCTCAGCCGCCTTCCTTTCATGGGCGGCAGGGGCCAGCCTGTGGGTGCTGATGGCACTGCCTGGTTGCCAGAGCAAGTCTCAGCACCCTTCTCTCAGCCTTCAGTCCACTCCCCACACTGTCAGGACAGTGTGACCATTCTGCTTCTGAGCCTTCTCCCCTCCTACCGTGGATTGTGTGTGTGTATCTGTGTGTGTGTGTGTAAGAGTGTATGTGATTGTGTGCATGTCATTGTACCGGTGTGTGGTTTGTATGGATTGTGTATGTGTGTGTGTGCAGCTGTGTATATGTGTGAGAGTGTGTGTGTGTGTGTGTGTGTGTGTCTGTAGAGTGGCATGAGGAGTGTCCCCTCCCAAAAGCGTGGCACCACCTGCATGGTCAGCACCCATTACAGCCACACCTGGTTCCAGTCCCGCACCTTCCCCATCACCTGCTTCTGGACCCTTCTGCCACCTTCTCCAGCCCCCTCTCGGCCTCTTCATAGCCATCTGGAGTGAGGCTGCTGCTGCGGGAACCAACACTAGGGGAACATAAGGGGCTCCTTTCTCCCACGACCCACACTTGCCTCATCAGAGGCACTGCAGCAGCACAGCCCCAGGGGGCCCCTGACTCGTTCAAAAAAGGGGAGACGGGGGAGGCCAGGACATCCCGCATCAGTCATGTGGGGTCCTGCCCTGAGCCATTCACTGGCTTGGAAGCTTTGGGAACCAGCAACCAGGGGGATGGAACGGTTCACTTCCTGTTCCTCCAATGCAGACCATCATCTGCGGCCAGCAAGCACCTGACCCTGCTGTTGTACATCATGTGGCACTCGGGCCCCCACGAGGTGCTGACGTGATGCAGGAAGGAGCCGTCGGCTGAGCTCCAGAACAAACCCTTGGACAGCTGGCCTCCTGTGGGCACTCTGGGCCCCCAGCCTCAGCCCCCAGCCCCTTCCTTCTCCGACTCCTGCAGCTTTAGTTGGTAAGGGCAGCTCAGCCCTTCTCCCTCCTTCCTTCTCCTCTCCCTCTGAACACATTTTCTGGTTTCACATCGCCTCCCCAGGGGGCTAATGCACTGTCTGTAGGCAGGAGTTTACTTCTCATCCTTTACACCTTATAGTTCTAAGGACGATGCTTGACACAAAACACCGCTTTACTGCTTCACCAGCCTGATGCAAGGGTTGTGTTTTATTTGTGTGGATTTCTTTGTGATTATATTTGAGGGCTTTTATTTCTATGTCAATGAGTGTATTTCTGCGAGTTAAGTATTTTTTACAAGTGTGAATACTATGTGTGTGTAAACATGTGTTCTTGTAATTCAAGATGTTTATCTGAAAAGCATTCATGGCATCATTCACTTACTCAACAAGTATTTATTGAGAGTCTGCTGCTCTCCAGGAAATGTTGTAGCACTTGGGATGCATCAGTGAACAAAACAACAATTCCTGCCCTCACAGAGCTTACATTCTAAGTGAGGAAAGACGGATGATGAATGAGAAACATAAGTAAATTATGAAACATGCTTGAAGGAGATACATGCTATGGGGAAATGAAACAGAGCAGGGTGAGGGAGAAGGCGAGGGGATGTGTGGGGATGTTCAGGGGATGGCACTGTTGACAAGGGGACATTTGAGCAAAAGCCTGAAGGAGGTGAAGGAGTGAGCAGTACCGATCCACAGAGGAAGCATTCCAGGCACAGGTGCAAATTGTGCAAAGGCCCTGTGGCAGGAATGTTCCCATGTGCTTCCAAGACAGCAAGAAGGCCTGTGTAGCTGCAGGGGAATGAGCAGGGGAGAGAGGGGAGGAGATGAAGTCAGGAAGGCAGCAGGGATCGGCAAATGTGAGGTCTTTGGCTTTTTATTTGTGGGTGTGTAGTTTGATGGAGAGTGGTGAGTGGGAGTGTTTCTAGGGTGTATAAATGCATGAATTTCTGAACAAGAGAGCTTGGGTGGGTGCACATGTGTGTGCTGTCCCTGGCTCAGCAGACCATTATCCTATATCTCACCCTGTTTTCTGTCCCTAGAGGCGGTCCCTTTAGAAAGCAAATGCTGGGCACCCAGCTCTGCCGAAGCACTCACCGAAGTCCCGCTAGGTACTCTTTCCCCTCGCAACGTCACAGCGGAGGCAAACACCAGTGACATCAGACATGCAATCCGGACTGGGAGCCCTGCAGGACCCACTGATGCTTCTGTCATTAGAGGCGCAGCCTCCCCACCTTGCCTTATACTCACTTAGTCTTGATCTCCAAGTCCTCATGGCTGGAGTGGCACATTTCACTGAAGCGAGACACGAAGAAATCGTAGCTCCGATGGTAGGATGGGGTGTCCTCCTCGATGTTGGCGAACTTGACAAACTGTGTGGGAGGAGAGAGGGAAATGCACTGAGAGGTAACCCACCGTGCCCCTCGCCTTTGCGCTTTGGAACTTGGCCTTCCCAGATCCTTTGCCGTAGTGAAGCCACAAGAAAACACACCTTGGGAACCATGCATCCCAGGTCTACCTCCCAGAGCACACTCAGGAGCTCTAAGTTCCAAATCCTGCTCCCCTTTCCCACCTACACAATAAGACTGGAACCCCTGGCCCTTCTCAGCCCTTCCCTGCTGGGTGAGCAGAGGATGGAGAAGAGAAAATGAAGGGGGCTCATTAAGCTCTTGCACCCTCTTACATTCAGAGCTGCACCACACACTCAGGCTGAAAAGCTGTTAGGAGTAACCCTGACACTGAGCGAAAGCCAATGCCAAAGCATATAGCACCGCCCTCAAATGCGTTCTGGGAAATCAGTACAAATCTGAAATTTGATTTTAAAACATAATTACATTAAAATTTTGAGTACATTTTAAAGGTACTGCCATTTCAGTTCAGTTCATCTCGCTCAGCATCCTCAGCTGCTGGATCCTTTCTGCCATCACTGTGCTAGGGACTCGATTTCAACCAAGTCCCGCAGAGAAGCAGGAATCACAGACTGAGTGGAGTTAAATTACTAAAAGTGCAATATAATTCTTCTAGGTTATTTTGTTTACTGTTGTAAATTTAATACCACAAACAACTCTAAACAGACTAGACCTTGAATAGATTCTCCACTATTCTGCCTCATTATTATTATTTAATTTTTACAAATCTTTTTTGGTTCAAAAAGGATACAGAGTTATTCCTAAAGTATCTTGTTAGTGCACTCTCATCTTATTCAGTGTCAACTGTCAATCTACAGCCCCATCTATTTAAAAGTTGCTCATAACGTTTTGTGGCTGAAAATTAGCCACTTCCACAAACATCATTAGTTATTGTAGTGTTTTGTTCTTGCAGTTATAAGTATGCATTTGTTTGCTGCTGACTCACAGAATCCCAACATGCAGAACAGATGAGGAAACCTTGCCTTCTGAGGCATATCTAAAATGCGTACATGTATTTGGACAGGAGTATTCTGATATTAGCAATAAATCCAGATGACATCGCTTGCATTATTGATGTGGTTATGTAGACGAGGCTAGTGGTAATCCATGTGATCACAGGACAGTTGATTAGACACAAAACTCAGGAGTTACAGAAACAATAAGAGGGCTGGCCGTCGGCTACGTGACCTCCTAAGCCCCACAGGCTTGAACACGGACTTAGGCTGATGCTGGGGCCGATGCTAAATTTGGGTGCATCGCTGCTCGTAACCACTGACAGGATGTTCCCAGGCTGCACTCACCACGGCCGAGGTCTGGCTTGGTCCGTCTACTGAGATGGGTCATGCAGCTCCGGGTCATGCAGATCTACCTCTGACTGGCGGGGAGAGCTCTGAGTGGGACATTTGACTTCTCTCATGTTTTGGTTTTCCCATGTGTGGACTGAGCTGCCCAGTCTTCAGTCACTACATCTTTTATTTATACTGTATCCACTTCAAATATGATGAGGCAGCTTAAGATAAGCCTACGTATATGCAAGAGTGCATGCATTACAGAATAATTAAAACAAGAATGAAAATGAAAAGAGGCCAGTAAAAAAGAGGGAGAAACAATCAAAGACTTTACCCCTTGGTATTCAGTGACTGTGTAGACCCAAATGCATGGCAGGAGAATGAATAACCAAACTTTATGTTCAGTGGCGTAGGAGCTTCTGGGCTAATAGCAGTGATGTTTAGAACATCCGCGTATCAGGTACTACCCTAAGCATTTTACATACATCAGCTCTTTCATTTCTTAAAATGACAGTAAGTGACAGAGATACTGTTCTTCTCATTTAACAGACAAAGAGACCAAGACCTGCAGATGTTATGTAATTGCCTGGGGTCCTGCAGGGGGAACCCGGGCCTCACGCTCGGCAGGCCTGAGCTCTGCCCAGAAAACCTCCAGGCTTTCCTCCTGCTCTTTGCTTCCTCCTGTGCCTCAGACCAAAGGACCCGGGAGAGGTGCTCTGGGGATAGGGGCGGTGGATACTGTCAGAGAGAACAGAGGATGAAGAAGCCACCGGGGGTGGTGGGGGGACCTTACTTTGGCCTTATCAAGAGGGCTGGAAGAGTGAAGGTGCTGGTTTCCAAACTCTATGGTACAGAGAGTCCAGGGGGCTCCATAATGCAGATTTCTGCCTCCAGCCCCAGACAAGCTGGGCCAGCCTTGGAGGAGGCCCGGGGGTTCGCCAGCTAGATGGTCTGAGGCTCACACTGGAGAAACACAGCAGGATCTCCGGCGGGCAGCCTGGCCACCTCCCCTCCCCTCCAGCCCCTCTCCCTGCCCTGAGGCCTCTCTGAACCGACTCCTCATCTCTGCGGATGTGACAGCCAGTCGTCTTCACATTCAGCTCTGACTTTCCTCTTCCTCCCATCCGTCCTGTGAGCCACAGGCAGGGCTGGCGGCCAGTCAGGCGTGGCCAGAGCCACATTCGGGACCAGTCTGTTCTGACCGGCTGTTAGCCATGCTGTCCGGGCTGCTCAGTATTTCGACTAGGGCCCCCTGGCTGTGAGGTTAAAATTGAGATTACAAACACTGTTTAAAAGCAGAAAATTCTGTGACAGCCACGGAGGTAAGGCAGGGTAGAATACATGCGTGGAGACTCCTTTTCTAGAACCACAGAGGCTTTTTTCTAGATTAGCCCAGCAGTCGCTTCTGAGTCTCTCCCAGCCAGGCCAGTCACAGCAGCTAAGCTCACTGGAAAATTCCCTCACTCTTTTCTTCTGTGACTCTGTGCATCCTTGGAGTGTCACTCTTCTTCCCCGGAAGTTTAGTTTTGAGTCTCCTTCTCAAATTTCGATTTTAACATGATGGCTCTTCAGAGTCTACGTAAATGTCTACTTAAATATAGACTGCGCCCCCTGCATCTGCTGGGCTCACTGACACCCATCTCCTGGCTCTGCCTCTGGTCCTCTGTGCGGCTGTGGAGGTCATGTAACTTCTGAGCCACTATTTCCTCATCTGTAAAATGGGGATGATAGGGCCTATGCCACGGGGTGGTCACCAGGGTCAATGAGGGGATGTGTGCAGGGCCTGGCGTACAGCCTGCCTGGAGGAATGCCCCTCACTGCGCTGTCCACCCCACTTCGCCAGAAAAACAGCTTCAAACATGGTCACTGGGCAGCACGTTTGCTTTGTTTTGATTCATACCTTGTTCTGTTGGAAGCTTTCAAAACATTCAAAAGACCCAGGTCCTTGAGGAAGTTATTTAGAGACACAGGACTTTGCGTCAGGAGGAGCCGATGCCCCATCTTTAACACTGGGATGGCAGCAACACGTGAAAGAGGGAGTTAACACCTATTTTCTGCATAATGACAGCATTAAACGTTTCTGTGGCTCCTGCAGTTCACGCACACTGTTAGTCCCCCCAGGCTGCATCACTCCAATCTCTGCCTCCGTATTCACATCGTTTCCTCCCTTGGGGCAAATCTCCCTCTGCTTCTCTCTTACAAGACCCTTGAGATGGCACGTAGGATCCTCCTGGATGATCCAGGATAATCTCCCCATATCAAGATCTTTAACTTGATCACTTCTGCAGAGACCCTGTTTCCACAGAAGGTGACGTTTGCAGGTTTGGGACATATTTGGAGGGGCCCTTTTTCAGCTTACCAAAACATCCATTATCTGATGTAACTTTTGGCAAGCCAGGGAGTTTAGTAGGATCTGCATGTACTGCTCCCATTGCGAAGAGGAGGAAACTGAGGCTCGGAGGGAGAAACTGAATTATTTCAGTTTAACCAGAGTTGTGACAGGCGGAGCTGGGCCTTGCACTCGGGGATTCTGATACTCTGATGCTCTTCGCCTTCCACCAGTGGTTTTTCAGTTTTAACGTGTAGCAGAATGACCTGGGCAGCTTGTGGAAAATGCAGACTTTGGAGTCACCCCAGGCCTGTTGGACAAGACTCTCAGAGGGTAGGACCAAGGCATCTGCATTCTGAACAACACCCTCCGCCCCAAGTCCCACCCTGCAGGTTCTGGGGCAGGGCGTCTAAGACCCCAAGTCCTTTGTCTCTCTGCTGGTAAGCTGGACCAGTTGCTATGAAAATGACCCAAAGCAGGCTAAGAGGGAGAAGCATAAGCAGTATGTTGGCAAAGTGTGGGAAACCATGTCCTGGATAATCGAAGCCACCCAAGGCTGAAGAGATGGCCACCTCCTTTGAACTGGGGTGGTTTGGGGTTGAACCAAGGGTCAGATGGCTGGCCCTGCCATGGCTCCATCTCTGAGGCCCAGAACTGCAGCCTCCAGGCTCATTCCATCGCCTCGCTCTGTAAGATGCTTGCTCTATTATGAGGTCTGGTGATGAGACCGCCACTCAGAGGGTGTGTCCCTCATTTATTACCTCCCAGGTGGTTCCAGGGCTAATAAAACAGTCACCTTTTGGTACCAGGATCTCTGAACATCTTTGGGGACCTCGGGTTTGATAGCTTGATGGGAGGAGCTTCCCTTCCCCGAGTCTGGAAGTGCGACAGCACAGATGACCCGCCCAGATAACCTGGTCACGGCACGTTGGCCTGCAGTGTCCCCACGGGGGCAGCTCTGAGGGAGAGCCCACCACAAGCTGCTCCTGAGTTCCCCAGGGCTGCAGGAGGAGGCCCAAATGGAAACTTTGGTAATTGTGGATCAGAGGATCAAACTGGGCTTCTTCATGGGGACCCTGCTCAAGGGACCACACCCCCTGCGGAAGTCCACCTGAGAAATGCACTAAAACCTGGCTGAGATGGAGGTGAGGCTCTAGGGCTTAAAGTAGAGACTTCATCTCTCATGTTAGGGGCAGAATAGTGTTACGATTATCAGAAGAGGTCTGGAGCCAGGCTGCATTTCTGAATCCAAACTCCCACTTAGTAGGAGGCTGATCTAGGGCAGGTTACTTCAGCTCCCTGTGCCTCAATCACCCCACCTCTAAAATGGGGCTGACAAGAGCAGC